AAAAGAAAAGAAAAAAAAGTAAAAAAAGAAAAGAAAAAGAATACTTCCAAAATTAGGAATGATGATTCCAACCAGCAATGGATACAGAGATAAAAAGCACTTTTTTGCAAAGTTAGTAACATGTAAGCACTGACCAAATAGCTTAGCAGATTAAAGCACCTGCAAGCAGGCACAGGGGCCTGGGTTTCAGTCCCCAGTCCTGCCATGCCAGCCCGGGCTCCGAGGCCCACTGAGATGGCAACTGAGATTGGGCATGGTGGTGTGTGCCTGTAATCCCAGTTCTTGGGAGTCTGTAAATAGGCAGATCACTATGAGTCTGATCTAGTAGTGAGACCCTGAACACACCCTGTAGACCCTTCCTTAAAATTAAAAAATAAAATTAATAACACACGACACAAGGTAGCCTAGCAACTAATAGCTGACCTTAACAGGATAGGATGTTTATCTCAGGACTGAGGTAGACCTGAGGCCTAGTCCTACCTACACACATTTGATCAATTTCCTAGCTTCCATGGCTCCCAACATGTCCCCATTTTTGGTTTTGTTTTGTCAGAGATAGGTTATCCATTCCAGTTAGAGAAGCTGTATTTGCAGAAGTCTTTACAGTATCTTTTCACACTTGATGGCAGTCTAAAGACTATAGGTACTTGAATTCAACAAAATAACCCAGTGTAATCCAATAGTCCATAGCAGTATGGAGTTATCAGTACATATGTCAATTGTCTGAAGTTGTTGACTTGAGCTTTTTATATTTTATAGCTCAGCATATTAATATAGCTTTACTTTTTATACCTTCTGGTTACACTTTTCTGCTGGATGGTTAAGACCAGGTTAAAGCAAGACGTATATCACTAAAAATATAACGTTTGGGGCTGAAGAGATGGCTCAGTGGAATAAGCACTTCCCTGGAAAGAGCAAGGGCCTGAGTTCAATCCCTCGTTCCACCAAAAAAAAAGTAACTTTTGTGATCAGACAAGGTCAGTCAGATCCCCTCAGGATTTACCCTGGAACCACATACAGCACCTTGTAGATCTTTTCTCAGTGTCAGCCATCTGGATGAGTTACGACCATTGTTTGACCAATTTCCTCTCTTTGAAAACCTGAAAGAATGTTTTCTCTCTAGGTGACTGTCCTTAGGCACACTATACATTATTGATCACTTTCTTCTGTGGTCCC